AGAAATTTTCCAACGGATAATAAGAGAGTGAATTTGACACTTATCCATAATCCATCGGTAGTCACCCTTAATATGAGAATGACCCATTTTAAATTCCACAGTTCGAAGAAATTTATTTTGTACTCTTTCAAGTCTCTCATAGTCGATTTTATAAAAAGGAAACCAAACAGAAGAGCAATAATCAAAATGCGATCGAACAAGAGAGCAGTAAAGAGATTTTAGGGCCAATGGAGACAGATCTTTACAATGACGCCAAATGAAACCCCACATACTCATGGCTTTATTGTAAATATGGTTATAATGGCTCTTAAATGTAAGGGTCGTATCAAAAATCACCCCCAAATCTTTTATTTCTAAAACTCGTGAGACGGAGACATTGTCTAATTGGTAATCAAAACTGATATGCGATTTGGTTTTATAAAATGATATTACATAGCATTTCTTAATGTTTAAATGAAGACAGTTATTTTGACACCAGTTAAATAATGCAACTAAGTCCAATTGAAGTTGTTTAGCGTCTTGAATGGACCGTATAGTTTTAAATAGTTTCAGGTCATCTGCATACAGTAAATAATTTGAAAAATGGAAACTGCAAGTTAAGTCATTAATAAATAACAAAAAAAGAATGGGTCCACAATGTGTACCTTGTGGAACACCAGAAGATACGCAAAAAGGGGCCGAAATATAATTATAAATTCGTACCTGTTGTTTTCTGTCAACCAGAAAAGAAGATAGCCATTTAATCGTACCTTCTCTAAAACCTAACTTATGTAGCTTTACAATTAGCAATCGATGATTAACCCGATCAAAAGCTTTTGAAAAATCTGTATAAACAGAATCTACTTGCGATCGATTGGCAAATGCTTCATTTAAAAATGATTTGTATTCAAGAAGGTTAGACAATGTTGACCTGTTAGAGAAAAAACCATGCTGACTACTTGAGATAATAGATGCAGATGCCCATCGGAGCTGAATGGATACAATAGCATCAAGTAATTTGGGAATTGCAGATTGGTTGCAGACCCCTCTATAATTGTCCACGTTGTTACGTTGTCCAGATTTGAAGATGGGAATTACATAACTGTTCTTCCATAATTGAGGAAAGACGCCTTCACTGAGTGACGTTTGAAATAAGATAAATAAAGGTAAGCAAAGAGAGAATTTACAGTTTTTTAGAACAATGCTGGGAACACCATCAGGGCCAGGATTACAAGATGACTTCAAAAAGGAAATATGGTTAAAAACATCTGATAAACTAATATATAAGCCAGAATCATTCACTTGAGACGATGAATCAAAACAACAAGCAAAATTCCTCAAGTCATCAACTGCGTAAACAGAAGAAAAATATTGTGCAAAAAGATTAGCCACTTCATCCCCACCTTTTACAGAGTGCTGATCAAGTGTCATTTCAGCAGGAATACTGCTGTCACTCTTCTTTTTGTCACGAACAAATTTCCAGAAAAATTTGGGATTATTAAAAATACTAACATTAACGTTAGATATATACGCAGCATACAGTTGTTCACATAACTGTTTACATCGCGATCTCAAGGATTTAAAATAAATATAATCTTCAAACCTGCCTGATTTTTTATAGATAGAGTGCGCTATGCGTTTATTGCGACAAAGATCTTTCAATTCTTTATCGAACCATACCGGATAATTATTACGAGCATTATGCCTTAATATTTTATGTGGAATAAATTGTTCAAACCCGTTAAAAACTATGTCATAAAAAACTGCCACTTTTTCATCCAAATTAAGACCAAGAAAATAATTATCCCAATTAATCGATGCATAAAATTCATTTAAAGAAATATAGTCACCATTATTAAAGTCAAATATTTGAACTTCAGAGTGAAGCGAAGATGAAGAGGTGCAGGAAATATACCATGAATACGGAGAGTGATGAAGACTTTGAGGAAAAATAGGATCTACAGCAGGCAAAACTGCAAGTGCAACAATATTTGTAAAAATAAGATCAAGAAAAACGTTTCTGCCATTGGGAAATAAATTAACTTGTTTAAGATTCAGAAATGCTGAAGTTGAGTTAATAACGTCATAATATTCATGTTTACTAGTCGATGAATCAAAAAGAATATCATTACCATTCCAGACGAGATGTGGTAAATTAAAATCACCGGCGATGACATAAGATGAATCAGGAAAACGCTCAAAAATTAATTCCAGGTCACTACAATAATCCTCGAAAATACTAAGAGGAGACGCAGGAGGAATATACACACCCCCAACAATCAAATCTAAATCATTATATTTTAAATGAACAAAAATGCTTTCCACAGAAATACTACAAAGAACAGTATGAACACAAAAATCATTCCTGATCGCAATCAACACACCACCACCACGATGTTTACCCGTATAATCAACATTGCGATCAGCACGAAAAATGCTATAATTATTTAAACCCAGTTCTTCGTTGGAAATACTGCTGCAAAGCCAGGATTCCGAAATAATAATAATATCGTAAACACTAGAATTAACCATTAACGAAAATTCCTTTAATTTTGACCTAAGGCCACCAACATTCTGATAGTAAAAGTTTATTACTTTTTTGAAAAACTATTGCGAGATGAACTTGTTTTGGTAATATAAGCTTGATTGTTTTTGTATTTTAAAGTTACGTCCTTCTCACCTTTAGAAACCCTGTCCTTAAATTCACGGCGAATATCATTATTAAAATCACGCTGAAGTTTAGTTAAATCAGGACGAAAGAATTTATCACGATTAGGGTTATTTTTGTTTGAGCGGAGAATGTCTTTAGCCAGATTCTCATTTTCACAAACTATTCTCAAAGGACGAACAGTGTTAGACTTAGGAGGACCAATGCGAATAACTTTTTGAGGATGAGAAATGAAACCCAACGGGGATAAAATAGACATAACCTGTTGCAAATCGTCCGCAACCCTTTGTGCAATCGATGTAGAAGAAGATTCAGGTAAATTAAACAATAGTACATTAGAGCTCCGTCTTTTACGCTCCTCAATTTCGGCCACAATCACATTAAGATCAGATGAATTGTTATTAGGCATTGTATTAGACGTCTTAAACGCTGCCCATTCCTCCTGAATTAGTCGTACATTATCCTCAACGGTTGTTAATCTGTCATTGATAGCTTTGAAGTGATTTTCAATAGTTTGTTTAATGTCCTGTTGCACCACACTTAGTTGTTTTATAATGATTTCCTCAATTTTTTCAATTGAGATTATGTTACTAGAAGGCGAGCATTTAGGACAAATCCAAGAAGATTTGTCGTTTATTATTTCAGCTATTTCAGACTCACTCAGTTTTAAACATTTAATATGTGCATGTTTTTTGCATGTACCACATTTTGTAGAAGGAGTCGTAGGGGTGATAGCATTCTCACAAATTAAACATAGAACTGCCATATTAATAGGATAACAAGGAAACAATTCTTCACACCAACGCGGTCCGTCGTGGTGACTGACAGTACTTGACAAACAGACTAGACCAGGGAAGGTAAAACAAAAGAGACAGAGGATACAGCTATATTGTAGCAAAAAGCTAAAGCTAATTAATCAATAAAACCAAGATAACGTTATCACGTGAAAGGGCAAAAAATGCAGAAGCCACGTACAAAATAGAGAAACCCCTTAACTTACGCAATCAAAAGGCGACAACAGTGACACAGGGCGTAGATAATCCTAATTTCCAGACACTGTCCAAAATTCAAGAAAAAACAAGGCACTTTAACCACTAAAAATTAATTAAAGAGAGAGTGTCGGTCTTATCACTGCTAATACGCTCTCTCTAAGATATCTTAGTTTTCCGATTTAGAATTTTTCGTTTTTTCAACTTTTTGTTTCTTTAATTTTTGATTTGAAGTTTTTCTAGTTTTCATTTTAAATATGTAACAAAAAATTATAAGTTAAAAAATCTCATTTTCAATTTTTCGATCTTTCAGTGTTTTCGACTTTATAATTTTGACGATTCTATAATTTTTCAATTTTAGGTTTTTTTTGGATTGTTTGTTCTTGTTTCCAATAATTGTTCAATGCACAAATTTTTTTCGATTTTTAGATTTTCAAGTTCTCGATTTTTCGTTTTTTCAGCTCTTGAATTTTCCACTGTTTCGATTTTGAAATTTGTCGTTTTTTCAGTTTTTTGGGTTTTCAAGAAGTCCAAAATCTAAAAATCGGATAATTCCAAAATCCAAAAATTGAAAAATTTTAAAAATGGTTAATCACGGAATTGAAACAAAAATTATAAAATCCAAAGAAACAAAAAAATGAAAATAAACACGTAAATTGTGATATGAAATCGAGAAAATGAAAAATCGAAAAATTAAAAACTGAGATAATGAAAAATCACAAAAAGTAAAATTGTAATATCGAAAAGTTGCAAGATTGAAAAATTACAAATTGAAAAATTGAAGAAACGAAGAAATGAAAAATTTGAAAGTGAAAAAAATAATGTTGAAGAAACTAAAAATTATGAAATCAAAACATTGAAAAATCGAAAAATTGGAAAAACCAGAAAGTGAGTTTCTTCATTACAAAATTTTATGATCACGTCATCAAATTTTTGGAAGGGGATAAACGAATAAATTTTGATTAATCATTTACCATGATTACCATAACCTTAAAACGTTTGGAAAATTTCAGAACACTCGATTTTGCAATTTCAAAGCTAAATAATTAGAAAATGTGGACGTCCATGGTGAAAACTCAACCCGGAATCATACACCACAAGTGTTGTATCATCTACATCATATTCCTAATATATTTACATATCAAATTTGGCAACAATTATTACTGGTTTGGTAGTTTCAGAGAATATCTGTGTAATAAAAATCCGGACAGACGGCAGACTGACAGACAGTCCGACAGACGGAAATAGGAAACTTTCCTTAGTAAAAAGTAGCGAAAGTTCAGGAACAAATAAATTCAACTCTTGTTAAAAATTATCGGTAATTCCTAGGCAACGCCCGATTATTAACCATCCGCTGTAATCTCCGTCAGATCGCCGTCACACCGCCCCCGATGTAGTTTTGTGGTTGACATAACAAAAGTCATTTCGTTGGTCCCCGTTCCCCGATCCGGGTAAGTCAAATTCCTCCCCCGGATCGCGCTTATTTTTCCAGCTTCGTCGATCCAATAGTCGCTTTCGTAGTGCGAATGCCTGCCGTCATCCGTGACAGTTGCATGGAGGCCGAGCCTGCCCCCGGGCGCTCTGTAATTATTTGCAAAGACAACTATTATTCACTGTTCAGAGCAGTGTTCGGGCAAGCTCTCCGGTATTTGATGGCGGCCGCCCCACACCACCGCCCCGTTAAATATTTCTGCCGCCGAGCTCCGCTAAAGTCGTGTAGTTATTCAGATTTAATAATGTAAGAATGCAGGCATGTATACGGCGGCATCGCGCGATGCATTTAAAACGTCCTGCAACCCCACCGCCGCCCCCGACGCTCGCGTAATGGTGATTACGGCATAAAGCGCTGCGAAGTCCGGAGGATAAATCATGCGTGGAAATTGTCACCGGGTGATATTTTTTTGAGAGAAAATTCGCGGGTTTTTTAGAACTGAAAACTGAAAATTATAGAATATTTAATGCGTTTTGCTTAAAGGATGTGTTCGGTGTCATTCCGGAAAAACTGAAAATTCAAAAATTACTAAAAAAATCACTGTGAGACAGAAATATCGTGTCTATTAGAAAAAAATTTCTAAAGTCAATACGAAGACTTATTTTGGAAATATTCATGCTCCAAATCAAATTTTTAGTACATCACAAAATTTGACATATCTGTCTCTTCTGGGAGATTTAGGAAAAATGATAAGGGTTATCGATGAACTGAGGTTGTAGATGATTTAAAGAGTCCGAAGTTGAGCGACAGGAACTTTTTGGTAACTTTTGTAGAATTATTAGGAAAAATAAAAAATTTCAAATTCTTTCAATTACTGAAAAATCAATTTTTTTCAAGTAGATAAAAAATCCTCAAAAAATTCTGAAATATAGATCTCGACGAGCTTTATCTAAAAATATCCGTATTAAACGCTCCGACGAAAAATTATAACCGAAAACTGAAAATTGATGAAAATTTAATGCGATTTTCTTAAAGGATGTATTCGGTGTCATTCCGGAAAAATTGACAGTTCAAAAATTACTAAAAAATTCACTGTGAGACAGAAATATCGTATCTATTTGAAAAAAATTTCTAAAGTCAATACGAAGACTTATTTTGGAAATATTCATGCTCCCAATCAAATTTTTAGTACATCTCAAAATTTGACATATCTGTCTCTTTTGGGAGATAAAGGGAAAATGCTAAGGCTTATCGAGCAACTGAGGCTGTAGATGATTTAAGGAGTCCGAAGTTGAGCGACAGGAATTTTTTGGTAATTTTTGTACAATTATTAGGAAAAATAAAAAATTTCAAATTCTCTCAATTATTGAAAAATTAATTTTTTTGAAGTAGATGAAAAATCGTGAAAAAATTCTGAAATATTGATCTCGACGAGCTTTATCTGAAAATATCCGAATTAAAAGTTCCGACGAAAAATTTTAACCGAAAATTGAAAATTTCAGAAAATTTAATGCGATTTTCTTAAAGGATGTGTTCGGTGTCATTCCGGAAAAACTGACAGTTCAAAAATTACAAAAAAATTCACCCTGAGACAAAAATGTTCTGTCTATTAGAAAAAAAATTTCAAGATCGATACGATGACTGATTTTTTAAATAGTCATGCTCAAAATTAAATTTTTAGTACATCTCAAAATTTGACATATTTTTTTGTGAGATTTTGGAAAAATGGTAAGAATTATCGATGAATTGAGGTTGTAGATGATTTAAAGAGTCCGAAGTTGAGTGGCAGGAATTTTTTGGTAATTTTTGTACAATTATTAGGAAAAATAAAAAATTTCAAATTCTCGCAACTACTGAAAAATGATTTTTTTCAAGTAGATGAAAAATTGTAAAAAAATTCTGAAATATAGATCTCGGCGAGCTTTATCTAAAAATATCCATATTAAACGCTCCGACGAAAGATTATAACCGAAAATTGAAAATTGTAGAATATTTAAAGTGATTTTCTTAAAGGATGTATTCGGTGTCATTCTGGAAAAACGAACAGTTCAAAAATTACTAAAAAATTCACTGTGAGACAGAAATATCGTATCTATTGGAAAAACATTTCTAAAGTCAAAACGAAGACTTATTTTGGAAATATTCATGCCCAAAATCAAATTTTTAGTACATCTCAAAATTTGACATATCTGTCTCTTTTGGGAGAATTAGGAAAAATGCTAAGGATTATCGCTGAACTGAGGTTGTAGATGATTTAAGGAGTCTGAAGTTGAGCGACAGGAATTTTTTGGTAATTTTTGTACAATTATTAGGAAAAATAAAAAGTTTCAAATTCTCTCAATTATTGAAAAATTAATTTTTTTCAAGTAGATGAAAAATCGTCAAAAAATTCTGAAATATAGATCTCGACGAGCTTTATCTAAAAATATCCGTATTAAACGCTCCGGCGAAAGATTATAACCGAAAGCTGAAAATTGTAGAATATTTAATGCGATTTTCTTAAAGGATGTGTTCGGTGTTTCTTCGGAACAACTGACAGTTCAAAAATTATTAAAAAATTCACCCTGAGACAAAAATGTTCTGTCTCTTAGAAAAAAAAATTCTAAAGTCAATACGAAGACTTATTTTGGAAATATTCATGCTCCAAATAAAATTTTTAGTACATCTCAAAATTTTACATATCTGTCTCTTTTCGGAGATTTAGGAAAAGTGCTAAAAATTATCGACGAACTGAGGTTGTAGATGATTTAAGGGGTCTGAAGTTGAGCGACAGGACTTTTTTGGTAATTTTTGTATAATTATTAGGAAAAATAAAAAATTTCAAATTCTCTCAATTATTGAAAAATGAATTTTTTTCAAGTTGATGAAAAATCGTCAAAAAATTCTGAAATATAGATCTCGACGAGCTTTATCTAAAAATATTCGTATCAAACGCTCCGACGAAAGATTATAACCGAAAATTGAAAATTGTAGAAAATTTAATGCGATTTTCTTAAAGGATGTGTTCGGTGTCATTCCGGAAAAACCGACAGTTCAAAAATTACAAAAAAATTCACCCTGAGACAAAAATGTTGTATCTATTAGAAAAAAATTTCTAAAATCAACACGAAGACTTATTTTGGAAATATTCATCCTCCAAATCAAATTTTTAGTACATCTCAAAATTTTACATATCTGTTTCTTTTGGGGGATTTAGGAAAAATGCTAAGGCTTATCGATAAACTGAGGTCGTAGAGGATTTAAGGAGTTCGAAGTTGAGCGACAGGAATTTTTTGGTAATTTTTGTACAATTATTAGGAAAAATAAAAAAATTCAAATTCTCTCAATTATTGAAAAATGAATTTTTTTCAAGTAGATGAAAAATCGTCAAAAAATTCTGAAATATAGATCTCGACGAGCTTTATCTAAAAATATTCGTATTAAACGCTCCGACGAAAAATTATAATCGAAAACTGAAAATTGTAAAACATTTAATGCGATTTTCTTAAAGGATGTGTTCGGTATCATTCCGGAAAAACTAACAGTTCAAAAATTACTAAAAAATTCACTGTGAGACGGAAATATCGTGTCTATTAGAAAAAAATTTCTAAAGTCAATACGAAGACTTATTTTGGAAATATTCATGCTCCAAATCAAATTTTTAATACATCTCAAAATTTGACATATCTGTCTCTTTTTGAAGATTTAGGAAAAATGCTAAGGATTATCGATGAACTGAGGTTGTAGATGATTTAAGGAGTCCGAAGTTGAGCGACAGGAATTTTTTGGTAATTTTTGTATAATTATTAGGGAAAATAAAAAGTTTCAAATTCTCTCAATAATTGAAAAATGAATTTTTTTCAAGTAGATGAAAAATCGTCAAAAAACTCTGAAATATAGATCTCGACGAGATTTGTCTAAAAATATCCGTATTAAACGCTCCGACGAAAGATTATAACGGAAAACTGAAAATTGTAAAATATTTAATGCGCTTTTCTTAAAGGATGTATTCGGTGTCATTCCGGAAAACTGACAGTTCAAAAATTACTAAAAAATTCACTGTCAGACAAAAATATTGTGTCTATGAGAAAAAAAATTCTAAAGTCAATACGAAGACTTATTTTGGAAATATTCATGCTCCAAATCAAATTTTTAGTACATCTCAAAATTTGACATATCTGTCTCTTTTGGGAGATTTAGAAAAAATGCTAAGGAGTATCGATGAACTGAGGTTGTAGATGATTTAAGGAGTCCGAAGTTGAGCGACACGAATTTTTTGGTAATTTTTGTACAATTATTAGGAAAAATAAAAATTTTCAAATTCTCTCAACTACTGAAAAATGATTTTTTTTCAAGTAGATGATAAAAATTGTAAAAAAATTCTTAAATATAGATCTCGACGAGCTTTATCTAAAAATATCCGTATTAAACGCTCCGACGAAAGATTATAACCGAAAACTGAAAATTGTAAAATATTTAATGCGCTTTTCTTAAAGGATCTATTCGGTGTTATTCCGGAAAAACTGACAATTCCAAAATTACTAAAAAATTTTCTGTGAGACAGAAATATCGTGTCTATTTGAAAACAATTTCTAAAGCCAATACGAAGACTTATTTTGGAAATATTTATACTACAAATAAAATTTTTAGTACATCTCAAATTTTGATATTTCTGTCTCTTTTGGGAGATTTAGGAAAAATGCTAAGGATTATTGATGAACTGAGGTTGTAGATGATTTAAGGACATCGAAGTTGAGCGACAGGAATTTTTTGGTAATTTTTGTACAATTATTAAGAAAAATAAAAAATTTCAAATTCTTTCAATTATTGAAAAATGAATTTTTTCATGTAGATGAAAATTCGGTCAAAAAATTCTGAAATATAGATCTCGACGAGCTTTATCTAAAAATATCCGTATTAAACGCTCCGACGAAAAATTATAACCGAAAACTGAAAATTGTAGAAAATTTAATGCGATTTTCTTAAAGGATGTATTCGGTGTCTTTCCGGAAAAACTGACAACTCAAAAGTTACTAAAAA